TATAATGGCCAAGAGGCCATTTTTGGCCTCACTTTTTCTCACTCTTTCTCTCTCTACGAATCTCTATCCCCCTCATTTCTCTTTTTCTTTTCTTTTTTCTACAAAATCTTCAAATCTTGATTTCTCTCTCATCTTTGACTGATTTTTGGTGCCGTTTGCGGCAAATAGAGAGCTCGTTGAGATCTTCGATTTGTGTAGTTTGATCCCATTGTCGAAGCCAATCAAGAGCATCACCCTGTAGGGTTGCTGAGATGTAGTCAAGGAAACGATCGCGTTGCTAAGTTCCTATATAATTGTTAACAAGAATGGCCAAAAATCAGATTCTTGTAGATATATCACATAGTCATTCAGAATAGCAGATCTCCTTTCTTTTTGAGATCTTCTTAATGTTATTCCTCTGTGGTTCTTCTACAATTGATTCATTGGTGACAATCTCATCATGGAGTTGTTGATCATTCAATTATTCTTCATTGTTATACAGTTCAACAACTAAAGGAACAATTATTTCCTTATAAGTTATGCGTAAATGAATTTATGCCCTAACTTCTTGAATGATCACATTCTTATTTTTATCACTCCCACTGACTTCACCATTCTCAATGAATCTGACATTACCGGTTTCAATAATTATCGTACTATATTTAGGATAGTAAAACTTATACCCTTTAGATTACTTAACATCCACAACATTATAGGTAACAAGGAATTACTTAACACACTTCTAACCAATTCCATAAGAGTACGATTACGCCTTACAACTACACGTTTCTGTTGTGGCATGTATAGCAAAGTGTATTGAGCACAAATGCCATACATTTCAAGGAGTTTAATAACCGATTAGAGTATTAACCCGTTTCATCATATTTTTCATAATATTTACCACCTCTATATGACCTTATGATTTTCACTTTTCTATCTATTTATTTTTCAACCTCATTTATGTATACTTCAAGAATACCCACTTCTTGAGATTTTTCATACAACAAATAGATATATCCATAATGTGAAAAATCAACTATAAAGGCAACAAAATATTTTTCTCCTCCAAAAGATGGAACATCAAAAGGTCTACAAATGTCGGTAAAAATAATTTCAAGAAGCTATATACTTATTGTGACTCATTTCTTTGTGTGTTTAGTTTGTTTACCCTTAATACAATCTACACACATCAAAATCAGTAAAGTTTAGATTCAGAAGAATCACATCAAATGACCATCGATTTAGCTAAACTAAAAAAAGCTAAGATGTCAGATCTATATCCACCAGAACCAGATCCACCCGATCTTTCCAAACAAGAACCCATACCTCCTGAAGAAGCTCTCACCCCGGAAAAACCACTTTCCGATGAAAGTCAACAACCTCATCGTTATAAGGTCAAACCCTTTTTTTATGGACATGAAGACATAAAAGTTTTTACCAAAACAACTTCTTCATCCAAATATCGCCGCGATGACTATGATAACATCATAGATCAACTCAATTGTTTACAAGCTTTATATGTAAACCCACAGCTTACCTTTGATGAAAGCACACATATCATCAATCGCATAAGGCAGATCTCTTTACAAAATGAAGATCTTCTTACACACTTTGGTTATACACAACTAGAAAGTGACAGCAATTCTGACTCCATAGACGAAACAGATGACGAACAGATATATGTCTTTTCTAATGCTTCTGATTCATCTTCTTCAGACTCTGAATCTCTCGATGAAACCATCGAAGCAGATCCTTTGCCAACTCCAAGATCTAAATCCCGAAAATCTAGATCCAAGAAACGTCAGTCTGACACTGTTCTTGACGAAACCTTTTACGGAGATTTTCCTACCGGAGACCTTCTCCCAGCAGAAGAAGTTCCTTCCTCCAGCCAACCAAATGAAGGCGAAAAAGGAGAACCCAAAAAGTCCTCTGTTTGTACTTCCTCTTATAAATATGATTTTTCTACAGTCCCTACCTGGACCAGAAAAGATGACCTGAAGTCTATTTTCCTCAAAATGGAGATAAACTCATTCTTGAAACAGATGCCTCAGACCTCTGTTGGGGATGTGTCTTGAAAGCCATTCCTAAAGAAAAATGGATAAATGACACCCCTTCCATTCCCATAATCCGAGCTCGCAAAGCTCATATCACAAAAAAGCTTCAGGCAGTACCCCTTACGTTTAAAAAATTACACCGTCCTCCCTCAAGGTTTGCTCCGTCATAACACTTAGTCCCCTCCAGTGAAAGTCAACGCCGGTCAATGGTCGTTTTTGATGACATCAGCCATTTTTAAGTATGAAATACCACATTTGCCCTAAACAAATTACAAAAGATATTTTTATTTTTATTTTTACTTAAAATTACTTATATACCCCAATTTTATATGACCTCCACCACCACCCACCTCAACTAGGCCCTAGATTCAGTCACTACCACAAACCCAAAAAACAGATTGAGACCCAATTCCGTTGCCAGCTAGCTTGCCATCGCATGAAAATCAGCATAGCCACCATATGGATTAGATAAATAGTTAGCTCAATTTCTATCGCCGGCAAACTTGTCGGCCGCACAGCCACCGTGGATGGAGCTCATACGCCTGCACCGTAATCCGATCAGTCTGCATCGATTGTGGCGCTACTGATTTTGTAGGGCCGGCTGCGAGATGGTCTCCAGCGATGGCGACGATGTGGTGTTGATTGTAGTGGTGGAGGAAGAGGAGTGTTGTAGAGGGACTTGAGCGCAGGCATTAACAGGGGAGCCGAAGAGGGTACAGTGGTGATGAATAGAAGAGCGTACAATGGCGCTACTGATTTTGCAGGGTCGGCAGCGATGATGATGGCTCTACTGATTTTGCAGGGCCAGCGGCGAGGGTCTGTTAAGGCCGGTGACGACATGGTCTCCAGCAGCGGCTTCATCCTTTTGGCCCATTGCGCCGGAATCGTAATCCGATTAGTCTGCATCGATGGTGGCGCTGCTGATTTTGTAGGGCCGGCGGTGAGGGTCTATTAAGGCCGGCAACGACCTGGTCTCTAGCGGCGGCGGCGACGTGGTGTTGATTGTCATGGTGGAGGAAGATGAGTACTGTAGAGGGACTTGATCGCAGGCATTAACAGAGGAGTCGAAGAGAGTACAGTGGTGATGAATAGAAGAGGGTACAGTGGCGCTATTGATTTTGCAGGGCCAGCGGCGATGATGGTAGCGCTATTGATTTTGCAGGGCCGACGGCGATGATTCGTTAAGGCTGGCAACGACATGGTCTCAAAATTTGACCAGTTGAAACACTCTCTCTCTCTCAAAATTTCTTGGATCCACCAAATTTTCTTCTTCCTCAACCTCCTTATTTTAGGTCATTACCGTTGGCTTCACCTGTGGTATATAGTGCCGTGTTGGTTGTCATTGTGGAAGAGTCCGCCTATTATGATGGTGGTGGTTGTGGCCGTGGCGCCACCACGGTCACACCCGTGGTAGTTGTATGTGTATTTGTACATGTAGGTGTGTCAGTACATAAGTATAATTTTATTTTTGGACAACATAGTCATTTAACATGATAAATGGCCGGAATAAAATGCCGATTTGTTTGGAGGGAGGGAGGGAGGTCAGTGTAATTTTTGAAACGTAAGGTATATTGCTTACCTTATTGGTGTGCATGAGAGTTTTTGTTATTAGTTTGTAAATTGTTTAGATAATTTTTTCTTTTTTTTTCTTTAGTTGGGACAATTTAAATTGAATCAAAATTGAATCCAACAATTTGCAATAATTGTTGCGCCACCACGGTCACACCCGTTGTGAAAAAGTAAGAAGATTCAAAATTGAATCCAACAATTTAAAACATACAAGAATTGAAGATGTTACATGATGTATCAACGAAATTTTTCAGACGGTATTAGTGACATACAAAGACCCCAACTATGTAGTCACGTAAATGAATTTGCAATAATGCACTGAAAAATTTGAAACTAGGTAAGGTTAGAGATATTGCGAACCAAAGAGGAAGATATTGCTAGCAAAAACACTATTAATCCAATTTACCACTCACAAGCATATTCAGTATCTTCATATATACATATATAAAATAAAATTATTATTTATAAGACATATACCTTCGTTTCTAAGCTTTCTCCTTCTGAAATAGTAGAAGAGGCCCAAGCTAAGCAGAAGTAGAGAAATTGCTACAGAAATAATTAACCATATCCACCACTTATTTCCTGCATAAGAATCAATTGTTAAATTATTCAATTACCAATATGATTTTCATGTATCATATTATATCTACATAAGTCTAGGATCCAGTGCTTTATCATCACCATTATGCAACATGATTTACGCCTCCATTGGTTATCTGAACCCTTTCCTAGTTAAATCCTTGGTGTTTTTCCTTCGCATTCTGAATTTCCAGTCCAATGACAATTTTGATATAGAGTAGGTTAATCACCCTAGACCTCCATTACCCCACAGCCCAGCTTGATTTAGATATATGAGCACCGTTGGGAAATACAATATGGTGCTTAGGTTTTGTATTCATTCCAATCAACAATATGTAACATGGGTGCACTATATTACCAGAGATGTTTTCCATCCAAAATTCAAACCTGAAGCATGGATCCTAAAGCCCCTCAATTTCTTGTGGAAAAGAGGTCATTATATTATTATGCGCTTTGCAGGTCATGTGAGCCTCGTAAGTTTAAGCGATCTTTATAATATTATGCACTTTGTAGATCATGTAGGTCTGGTATGGGCTGTTCAGGAGGGTTATTAACTAGAATTCGAATGGGTAGGTAAGTTTAAGCAATCTTATTTGATCTAGACGGATTAAATGTTTGGTGAAGAAATTAAAATCAACTAAGCTACTGACATATGTGAAAGGATTATTTCCAGATCAGTACAAGTAGTGTGATCAATCTTCTGTAAGAAGTAATTATATCTATCAAAAGAGCAAGGGTACATCCTGTAATGTTTGTGCCTTTATATATATATATATGCCTGTGTGTATTAAAAGAAGAAAAAAAAAGAAAGAGAAAAAGAAATTAGAAAAAGAGAGGTGGGACCCACGTCCCTTTTAAATGAATTAAGAGACCAAGTTAGTCTCTGTTCTTTTTCTCTCTCTTTCTCCCGACTGCTGCTCTCAGCTCCTTCTCTTTTTCCTTTTTTCTTTTTTTTTCACTTCAAGCTTTAACCCTTGATTACTCTCTCAATCCTTGCCAGATTTAGGTGCCGTTTGAGGCAAAACGACGAGCCCTACGTGCCGGTATCAGAAATTCCAGCTTTTGGTCCTCTTTGGGAGCTCGAATTTGAGGACCCATTTTCTAGGGTTTTGGTGCAATCTTGAGGTAGGGACATCTTAAGCCATGGAATCTTGTTCCATATTGAATCATGCTCTTCTAATTGTGTTACAGCATGTTTGATTGCTTTGATTCTTGTTTAAACTGAGATATTTGAGAATATGCCATGTTATGTGAATATGTGTTACTTGATTGAATGGATAGCATGTTTATAAAGTGAGTTTCTATCATGATTATTATTCTACAAGCATGCTATAATGTTATATGAAATGGTACTTGTTGTAGAGTGTTAAATTCCCATTTATCATTGTATTGACATCATGTAAGATACATACATTTTATTGGGTTGCATAGGAAGGGATGTTGGTGTTTGAAAAGAAAAATGGGAATTTTGGGTGATGTGTTTGGAAAAAAAAAATTGGTTTTGATAAACCCGGTCGCTGCGGGGTTACCAACGGGCCGGAGGTTAATATAGCCTAGAGGGGACTAGGGAGTCGCCCTAACGTGGTTGAGCTAGCTGGGCCCCATAATGACGCCGCGGGGTTACCAAGGGTCAGGGACACTAGCCAATCCTCCTCTCGTGTCGCGGCGGGGTTACCAAATGGTGGGCTGTATTAACGTTTGAAAGTGATGTTTTTGAGAATGAGAATGGGGAGTATCATTGACATGCATTGCATTTCATTTCATTACATTGCATTGTTTATACTTGGAATTGACTTGTATGTTGTATTTGATCCCCTATGTTGTATGATCCCTATCTCCCATTGGCCTATGCTTTGATTGGATTCACTAGGACACAAGAATTGTGTCTTAAGTGTCTCTACTGAGCTATATGCTCACCCCTATATTATATATTTTTTTTTTCAGGTCTTGAAAAAGAACCGGTGGACGACAATCCACCCCAACTTTGAAAGTTGCTAGAGGAGCATTTTCCTTGTTATTTTGTAATAGACTACTCCTTTGTTCATCCCTCATTTTTGTAAAATTCCAAAGGTGTAATGATGTAAATTTCTTTTGAAGAACCATGATCATGTAATACACTTATGATACTTGATGACATATGGGATGCGAACTTGATGATATGTAACTTGTTGATGAATGGAAGGATAATCCTAACTTGAAGCATTGTCTAGATTATTAGGTTGTATCATTATCTTTTGTAGCCGTGAATTCGGAAATTAGTTGCATGACAAGTTAAATATATATTTAAACAGGTTGCGGTTGGTCCATTTTTAGGAGAGGTTATGCCGAATTTTTTTTAAAAAAAAAAAAAAAAATTCTTGGCATCATTTAGGGTCGTTACACATCCTAGGTTTGACATGATACACCAGAAAATTGAAATACTGAACCTATAAACCAGATGAGCCTCATTTATTGTTTACCAGTTTTTTTGGGTAATAATGAGTTGGAAACACAATGCGGATCAAATTCAGAAATTAATGGAGATAAAAGTAGACTTACCATTGGATGAATTTGTTGGTTCAATGGATGAATTTGCTGGAACCAAAAGATACTTTATCACATTATTAGGTTCATCTAGTGTATAATTTACATTCCCACCCCAAAATACACACCCTACTCCATTGCTATAGTTGGCGAAGCCAACACAATTGCAATCGTTCCAGCATTTTTCCATACAATCACTGATACTTGGACTTGAATTGTTGTCATAAGTGGAAGGGTTTCCTATGAAAGCTGCTCGCCTTTGCTGAAATGTATCACCATGGCTCCTGCACTCAGGCACTGTAGAGTTTACACAACCATCGTCTGATTGATAACCATAACAAAACTCATGTGGGGTAAGGACAAAACCACTACAGTCCACAATTCGCTCATCTGGAATCAGGTTCCACAACAACATCCTTTCGTCACCAACAGAAAAAGTGAAGTAGTACCCATCACTAGCTAAAACATGATTAAGGTTGTGATTGTACGGAAAAGAATTTGAATCCAATGATGGCATATGTTCAAAATTCTGATCTTTCAGTTCCCCACTAGTCCAGTAAGGCTCTCCTCGACGCTGAATGACCAACTGCCCAGACTCTTGGGTAGGTTCCCAGCTCAAAGTGAAAGCCCCGGTAGCCGGGATATCGTCACTCAGCCAAGAAGTTAGAGTCCAATTCTGCATAGTTGTGTGGTTAAAACCAAGTTTCATACCTTGCAATAGCGTGCTGCCAGGATGATCAAAGCTCTGCCACAAAATCCTGTTATCAGTTTCATCCATCACCACAAAGTTACCTGAATCTTTTAGTGTGGCACTAACATTTCCGGTCCCCACTTGATCAGAAATATTCACAAGAGTACTCCCTCCACTCATAAGCTTTAACCTTCCCTTGCTATCAATAGTCAGAACTCCAAAATTATTCAAAATTGGTGTGTTAGAATTGGCAACCCATACTATCCTTATCTTGTCCCCATAGGTGTACCATATTCCTAAATAACCGGAAGCTGTCATGGTGGTGTTGAAGAATCCTAAGGTGAAGTACCTACTTTCAGAAACAAGAAGACTACCAGATCAGTTGAGTTCATCGCCGTGTCGGATTGTGCTTTCTCCTGCTACGAGGGAGGAATCAAATCCCCAGAAGCATAAGAATGCACAAACTAGCAGCAACATAGATTCATAGAAAGCTCTATTATCTGATAATGTTAGGAGGCGGAGCAATTATTATATGAAAGTGTAATATAATAGGCCAATCAAGCCTGAGAATTTTCAACTGATTTTCTAGACCGTAAGTATGGGGTAGCAACAAATCTTGGACCTTTGACACTGAGCTGAAATGTGACCTTTTGGCATTTCTGAATAATGTTCAAGCTTAGGACCTTTCACACTGTGCTGAAATGTGACCTTTAGGAATTTCTGAATAATGTTCAAACTTAGAAAAGTCAATTCTAAACTTACTAAGGTTTGACCATTAGTGACTTGGATTGCTTTAAAATTTTGTTTTGGGAAACTAAAACAATTACACAACTATGATTATTCAAATCAATGTGATTTTTTAACATTTGTGCACTTAGCTATGCATAGCTCAGTTCAAAATCATCCAATCACTTGGCCGCTTTGTACATGCTTGGTTTTATAACTAATGGGAATGAACTGAAGGACTGCTGTTTAAATGAAAGCCAGTCATTCTAAGTTTGTATTGATGTCTCTCCTCCATCAAATTAGCATGACCTCCTGCATACACAATTTTCTTCTTGGACTAATATTTGACTCAATTTTCACACTACAAGTTTTTTAAAGGGGGAAAAAAAAAAAAGAACAAGAAAAAAAGAACGTGAAACGATATGTTGATTGAATTTGGATTAAAAAAAAAAAGTCAGAATTGAAGATGTTACATCGTTGTAGGATTCATGTCCTCCTCCTCCTCTTCTTCTTCTCTCTCTCTTTGTCAAATTTGTCCTATCAACAACATTGCAAAGAAACCGACACATGGGATGACCCTTTCTGCATTGAATCAATCATATCCCGACAATTATTACACTTTCTTGTTTATACTTTCTTAAATGTTAAATATAACATGTTATTAAATTTTTCATTCTTGAAACTTTCTTTTTTTCTTATTTTGTAGTACCTTTTTCTTATGTGTGTTCTTCAATTTTATTAATAATGCTGCCTTTTTATTTGGGTATTTTTCTTTTTCGAGGCAAGCATACACAATTTCCACCAATGGGGAACATCTAGAAGTTGCAACAGTCGAAACATCTTCCATTTGGGTTCTGTGGCTAAAATGGTTTTGTTATGCCTTGAAGGCTAAGATTGAACTAGTAGTTCAACTATGCATCTCCCAAATATGGTGGCTTGATTGAAGGAAAAATGGAAAATGGCTAACAATTCAGGTCTTGGTTGCTTCAACAGTGGCATGGGCTTGGTAGGAAGGAACCACAAGAGAGAATAATGTATGTGGTTCAAATTCAGTTTATATTGTTTTGGACCCTTTGTTGGCGGAAGCTATAGTGTATATCAATTGTAGAAGAAGTGATATGAGGAATGGACTGCATACTGAGTATGGTTCAAACTGATGTTCGGAGCTTTGAATAGAGAGCTCATCTAAAGCTGGTTTCTAAAATCCATTTCGTGGACTTTCTTCACTTGGCTAAAGGTGCAATGCAAGGTTAGATATTTCTGAGAGAATTTAAAATTTTAATTTCTTTCTGATTCATGGGCACCAATTTCAGTTCTATTATGAACTTTACACATTTTTTTCATGTTTTCGTAATTTAGCATCAGCATGAAAGTTGCACATTGTTTTCACATTATTTTTTATTCAAGGACTCTGCTGTCTACATGAAAACTTATCAATCTTAAGTATGATAAGTTAATCCTATTAACAACATACAAGAATTGATAATGTTACATCAACGTAGGACTCGTGGCCTCTTCCTTTTTTTTTTTTTTTCTTCCTCTCTCTCTCTCTCTGTCTGCCAAATTTATCATATTAACAACACATGCCATCACCCTTCTGCAATTAAATCAATCATTTCTTCATTTTATAGCACTCTTAGCGAACTATGATAAAAAGAAGTGCATGGTTTTCATAATGATCATGTATGTTGCCGTAGTAAAACAAACAAATATCATTTTGACAGTAAGCAAACCTCAAATTTATTTTCCAATGAGAGTTGTTGTTACATATACTTCAACTCTACACAAAAGCAGTTACAATATTCAAAGCAATTGCCAAATACTTGAAGCATCAAAAGGACAGAAGTTTCTACCACTCATCGCGCCTCCATTTCAGAAATAGTCAAACCATTTATTGAACGATCTTTTGAGCTACTTTCATTAGTTTCTGATGAAATTGCCTGAGGCACACTTCTTCCTGTGAAAAATGCTGGTTGCTTTGGAGCTGGTAAAGGCATAGTTTCATTGCTAAGCATGGAAATTACTTCTGACATTGTTGGCCTATCCTCTGCACTTTCTTGCACACATAAAAGTCCCACATGAATGATTCTCAATAAATGGTGTTCGGAGCACGAATTGCTTAGTGTTGGATCATTTAATTCCAATGCAGTCCCTTCTTTCCACAGCTCCCATGCCTAAGGCAATATTGTTTTCATTTCCATATTAAAACTATATTGATTTGTTATAGTTTAGAAAATGAAAATAAAAGAAATATACTTGGAGACACTTACATATCCTATTAGGTTTAGTGGACGATCAAGATGATAGAAGCTAGTATTTTTCCTACCACTCACGATTTCAAGGACCAACACTCCAAAACTGAAGACATCAGATTTCACTGAGAAATTTCCTTCCATGGCATACTCAGGAGACATGTAACCACTAAATCCAATCATTGAAAAAAACTTAGTTAGGAGGTGAAGCACAAAAAATTTGTAAAGATTTAAAAGCTTCAATGTGTCACCATAGAGAGTAACTTTTCACTTACTATGTTCCAACAACCCTGTTAGTGATTGCCTCCGTTTCGTTTGGCTTGAAAATTCTTGCCATCCCAAAATCTGATATCTTAGGATTCATGTTTTCATCTAGCAGTACATTACTTGCTTTTAAATCTCTATGTATTACTCTCATTCTTGAGAATTTATGAAGGTAAAGCAATCCTTGAGCGACACCTTCAATGATGTTCAAACGTTTTTCCCAGTTTAATAGCTTCTGTTTAGCTTGGTCTGTATCAGCGAAAAAAAATTTAGACAGAATTAGTGACATGTATAGAGCTAGGTAATAGCATAAATGAATTTGAAATGGTGTACCGAAAGAATTGAAACTAGGTAAGGTTAGAGATACTGCAAACCAAAGAGGAAGAAATCCAAGCTTTTGTTGGGCATGTACTCATAAATTAACATCTTCTCTTCTCCATGAATGCAACAGCCCAGAAGTCGAACAAGATTTGTATGCTGGAGTTTGGCAATGAGTATAAGTTCGTTCTTGAACTCCACAAGTCCTTGCCCTGATGTTCTTGAAAGTCTCTTAATTGCTATTTCTCGGCCTTCAGGCAATCTTCCCTGTTATATATGATTCATGGATCATTGAAATATGTTGGACAAGTACTCATCAAGTGTGTTTTTTTTTTTTTTTTGGTTTAGTAAGTAGAAATCAACTTTGTTGACTAAAAAATGATATTTACCTTGTAAACTGGTCCAAAACCACCCTTTCCAAGCTTATTTTCCTCTGAGAAATTATCTGTGGCAGCAGCAATAGAGGCAAAGGTAAATATCTTCAAATTGCTACCTTCCCTCGCTTCATTTTCGGCCTCATTTCCATTGTTAAGGTTGTCTGAAGCTGTCAACTCAAATAAGTATTGTTCTTGCATTTTTTTCTCCTCTCCTGCAAGCGAAAACACTATTAATCCAACTAACCACTCACAAGCATATTCAGTCTCTAAATGTATACATATATGAAATAAGACATATACCTTCTTTTCTAAGCTTTCTCATTCTGGAATAGTAGAAGCAGCCTAAGCTAAGCATAAGTAGAGAAATAGCTACAGAAATAATTAACCATATCCACCACTTGTTTCCTGCATAAAAACCAAATGTCAAATGGCTCAATTCCCAACCGGTAAAGATTTTCATTACCACTATGCAACATGATTTACACCTCCACTGTTTATTTTGAACCCTTTCCGACTCAAATGCTTGGTGTTTTTCCTTCGTTTCCAGAACTTTCCAGTCCAATGACAATTATGAATGGATTGCAATTTGATATAGAATAGGTTAGTCACCCTAGACCTCCATTATCCCACAACCTGCCTGAGTCAGATACGTGAGCATGCACCATTAGGAAATATAATATGGTGCTTAAGTTTTGCATTCAATCCAATCATCAATATGTGACGAAGGGTACACAATATCACTCAAGATGCTTTCCATCAAAAACTCAAACCTAAAGCATGGATCCTAAAGCCCTTCAATATCTCTAAAGGGATTATTGCCAGGTCAGTATAGTATGTTGACACTCATTTTGACAAAATTGTGTGGCAGTGACGTGGCGAGTAATTGGCTCACCATGTGGGGCTATTTTGTGATGATGTGGCAGCCATCATGTGAGTAAAGATTAAAACTACAGTAGTTTTTCATATGGGGAAGGAAATTACGTTTTTTTTTTTTTTGTGTTGTTGTTGTTGTTGTTGAATGGGTAAGCAGAAATTACATATTGTTGTTCCCAAAAGAATTGGGTAATTGACATGTGGGCCAAGGTTAAAAGGAGAATTTGATCAAGAGATAAAGACAATCCTTTTGTTGGATATATATAAACAGATAAATATCTATATTTAATGATTGGTTTCATCAGGAATCCAAAACAAATGATATGTGCATTCATGTAATGCCACGTGTTGGAAGAAGTAATCAATAAGACTTGTGACTTTTGGATTGATATGGGGCTGTTTGTTTAGGAATTAATTTCTCCATCTTTCTACATGTAACTAGTTATTTTAGGATCTATAAATAAAAGAAGTAGCAGACGTTGTAAAGGGTGTTCTTAGTATAGTTGAACTCTTTTACTTTAGCTTCGTAGATTAATTAAACTTCCTTTATTTAGTTTAATTCACTGTTGTCTTTACATCCCTTTTGCAATCTTATTTCCAATTCAGATCTGCTATACGTTAGTTTCCAGATTCCAAACTTGTTAAGTCCTGTTTTACAAGGCAATTTGAATCCATAAGGGAATTTAATGTTCTCTTTTTTCCTTAATTGCCTGATTACCAACTTTCTCAAAGAGACTAAAGTTGGTTTTGGCACGTCGGCATCCACCATTTTCTGAATCGGCGAGGCCCGCCGAGTTTAAGTAATGTAATCTATCTAGTGTACATTCTAACTCCTAGGTTTGACAAGATACGTGTTCACCAGGAAATTGAAATACCGAACCTATGAACCACATGCGCCTCGTGTACTGTTACCAGATTTTGGTGTAATAGACAATGATATGGAAACAGAATGCAGATCAGATATTCAGAAATTAATGGAGATAAAAGTAGAAGTACCTTTGGATGAATTTGATGGTTCTATGAATGAATTTGGTGGCTCTGTTGGCGAATTTTCTGGAACCATCACGTACTTTTTCTCAGTATCAGGGTCATCTAGTGTATAATTTAAATTCCCAAACCAAAACACACACACTCCTTGCCTGATGGAGTTGGTAAAGCCAACACAACTGCAATTGTTCCAGCACTTTTTCATACAATCACTGATACTTAGACTTGAATTGCTGTCATAAGTTTCAGGATTATCCATGAAGGCTGCTCGCATTTGCCGAAACGTATCACCACGGCTCCTGCACTCAGGCACCGTAAAGTTCTCACAACCATCGTCTGATTGATAACCATAACAAAACTGATATGGGCTAAAGACAGCAGTCACATTATCTGAAGCAACAATTGTCCCATCTGGATATAGGTCCAACCCCGACAGCATACCAAATCTATTATAACCACCAATATTAGAATAAGTGAAATAGCTCCCATCACTGGCTGAAACATAACTAAGGTTGAGATTGTAATTATTCAACAATAGCATATGTTCAAAATTCTGATCTTTCAATTCCCCACTAGTCCAATAAGGCTCTCCCCGATGCCGAATGACCAGCTGCCCAGACTCTTGGGTGGGTTCCCAGCTCAAAGTGAAAGCCCCAGTAGCCAGGCTATCATCTGTTAGCCAAGAAGTTAGAGTCCAATTCTGCCTAGTTGTAAGGTTATAACCAAGTTTCATACCGGGCAATAGTGTTCTGCTAGGATGATCAAAGCTCTGCCACAAAATAGTGTTATCAGTTTCATCCTTCACCACAAAGTTACCTGAATCTTTTAGCGTGGCACTAACATTTCCAGTCCCAACTTCATCAGAAATATTCACTACAGTACTTCCTCCATTCATAAGCTTCAACCTTCCTGTGCTATCAATAGTTACAACTCCAGAATTGTCCGAAATAGGGGTGTTAGGATTGGCAACCCATACAATCTCTTTTTGGTCATAAAAGTTATAGGTGTCCCATATTCCAAAATAAGTGAAATCTGTCACGGTGAAATTGGTGAAAGCTGTCGCGGTGATGTTGAAGAACCCTAAGGCGAAGTACCCACCTTCAGAAACAAGAGGACTAGCAGAGGAATTGAGTTCATCACCACGCCCGATTGTGCTTGCTCCTGATACCAGAGAGGAATCAAATCCCAGGCAGCATAAGAATGTGATAATGTTATGAGGAGGAACAATTATTATTTCAAATTGTTATATAACAGATCAATCAAGCCATGTAATTGACTGATCAAATGAAGGTTAAGTAGAAGTGTGACCTTTTTGACCCAAATTCTGTCAAGTCCACTTGAATAGTGAGAGGGATATATACTAGTCCTAATGGACAATTCAAAAGAGTAAATCTGTTTCTCGATAATGATCCTAAATTTTTTTGAAGAATATGAAATGAATTCTCTATTGTTAAATATGTATGTGGCGTTTTTTGCTTTGTGAAATGCACTTGTTTTCAATGCTATTATTCCAAAACAATGTTTTGGCAAACTAATAGAATTACAGCTACGATTATTCAAATCAGTCTGAAAATTTAACAGTTGTGAACTTAGGTAGGGTAGGATTTGTCGCGCCAGCTAGCTCAGTTCAATAAAATCTATTCCGCTTGGTTGCTTCGTAATAATATTTAAATGTATTTATAATTTTATTATCTTGAAAACTTAAGAAATCACTATTATGATCAGATGGAAGATCTCTTAACATTATTCATAAAGCATTTGGTTCAAAGTCTCAACTTTTAAGAAATCAATTAACTAAATATATATGTTATACCATGAAACCAGAAAAATAAATCTCAAAATTGAGATAATAGTGAACTAAAAGCTTCAATTTAAAAAGAGATATAATATTTTTTATTAAATTCTTCATTTCAAAATGTCTTTTTTCTTAAATTTTACACCTTTTATAGTGAATTATAACCAACAAGACAATAAATATATAGTGTAGAGTCAAAGATGCTTCACTGTTGATTATATAAAAAAATTATTTAGAGTCCGAAATTTGAACAAGCAAATGAGATAAGAGTATGGACTACACCAGCCCTCTATTTCATTGGGCAGTTCGGAATTCAGACTCCGTATATGTTTAAGTAAATATCAGGGGCTCTTTGGTATTTAAGGATAATGAATTTCTTATGCGAATTGGGTTTGTCTATTGTTGAGGGCTTTCTTGGTTCAGTATCTCTTCTCATTTAACTGAAAAACTAACAGTAAAAAATTTTATTTAGTTTTAACAACAAAGTTTTTTAAAAAAAATAAAATCTTTATATTTCTCTGAGATCTCTTAAAACTTGTTTTATTTTATTTATTATTTGTTGTTGAGTGAACCAGACGAATTCTTACTTTCTTAATTATCTCAATTCTCAGAAGTACTAAAATTTTTATTGCTTATTATTGAGGTGGACGTTAGTTATCGGGAATATTCTACTGGACACAAATCATAACCTGTGATGTAGAACAGGTTGCCCATGATTATAGAGAGTTGTTTCACTATCAGAAAAAAGCCAAATGGGCAAGGTGACACAATTTTTGAGGTACTTTCGACTAGCCTGTTTTGACTCTGAAAGATCCCTTCCCGATTGGAAATGAGTCAACCCGGAAAAGCTGCTGATGTACGTTACTTTTTGGTCAAATTCCATCATTTAAACTGCCTAGAAATTGTGTTTTATGATTTTAAAATTTTCAAAAAAAAATGCGAATTTTTCTCTTTTTATTTTTGATATATAGTAGTTTTTAGTGGTTATGCTTTTTATCTTCTTCTTTTTTCATAATTCTTAGAGATGTTAAATTTCCTAATTCCATGAGGTTTTCTTAATTATAAATACATGCACTACAGAAGCTGAATATTCATTGATTAATAATATTTTCAAAATTCTTTTTGTCTATACTTTGCGGATAAAAAGTTGTTTATTGTTTATTTATTAATGTTCATAACTTCCTCTTTTTCAACCTCTACCACCATTGATTCTTGTCTCAAATGATATATAAACTAATTCTGAAAATTATGTTAACATGAGGAATAATAATTCAATCAAACCTCTAATAAATTATGTTTCTCGTGTGTTTAGTTCCAAAGACACGTTAGCTTAAGAATGAATGATCTACTTGAAGAATTTAGGGATAGAAAAAGGATACAGTGTTAGAGAATTATCGAAGGGCTAGAAATTATTTCAAAATAGCTTAACTAATATTCTTATTGTTGGAATAATAGTTTTATTTCGTTCAAGGTATAGACTTAAGTTTGTAACATTAGCTTAGAATATTTATTCATTAGGATCATCACATTACTTGTGGATTCCAATCCGATTCGGAAGCCTACCGTTTAGAGAGAGAAGAGAATATGAAAAGTCATACTATAAGTCTGTTATGGAAACGGTCTCGGCTAGATTTCAGGCCATGCTCGACTTTTCTAAGCTGTTATATATATATATATATATATATATGAAAAGTTTTTGCCATTTTTCCAAACAACACGTTAAATAGATATTTAATATTTTATGGTTAGTGTATCTTATCCAAAAATGTTTTTAGTGTTGGAGTAAAAAAAAGTGAATGAGAGAGAGAGAGAAAGAAAGAAAGAATTTTGGGCTAATATTAAATTTCTATATTGGTTGGGATTTATTGTAAAACATAAATGAGAATAAAAAAAAGGAAGCAAAAAAAAGTCATATAAAGATGTAAATCTTTGAGGGCCAATATTAAATTTATGTATCAATTGAGTTCAACAAAACGAGCGAGGAGAGAGCAAAAAAAAAAAAATTAATATAAAATCGGAATGAATGATGATAGAGAGAAAAAAGAAATTATTTTAAGATATAAATATTCGAGCCCTAATATAAAATCAAAATTAGTGGGAGAGACAAAAAATAATAATAATAATAATAAATAAATTATTTTAGGATATAAATCTTTGCATAATAAATTTTTTTTTATATTTATTAGAGTTTAACAATACTAAGAAATAATTATAGTACAACTTAATATAAAAAAAATTTAAAATTTTGAGCTCTTAGCATGGACTTTAGGCGACCGCCTAAGTGGCCTGCCAAGGTATTACTTATGTAAACAATGCATACCAGATTCAGAAATTAATGGAGATAAAAGTAGACTTACCAGCAACCAGCACGTACTTCATCACAGTATTAGGTACCAGTTCTAGTGAATTAGTAAACCTCCCACTCCAAAACGTACAGCCCACTCCATCTTCGAAGCTGGAAAAGCCGGTACAACTGCAATTGTTCCAGCAACTTTTCATACAATCATGGATACTTAGACTACGATTTTGGTCAGAATGAGGGTCGCCAAGAGAGTTTGCTCGCCTTTGCTGAAAGGTTTTACCATGGCTCCTGCAGATGGGCACCGGAAAGTTTGCACAACCATTGTCTGATTGATAACCATAACAGAACTCATATGGGGTGATAATAAAATCACTCGCAACAATTTGCCCGTTTGGTTTCAGGTCCCACTGCATCCTTTCATCAGCAACAGGAAAAGTGAAGTAGCTCCCATCACTAGCTGAAACATAACTAAGGTTGTAATGAAAAGGAAAATAATTTGCATTCAACAATGGCATGTATTTAAAACTCTGGTCTTTCAGATCTCCACTAATCCAATAACGCTCTCCTCGACGCCAGATGACCAACTGCCCAGACTCTTGGGTGCGTTCCCAGCTCAAAGTGAAAGCCCCGGTAGCCGGGATATCATCACTCAACCAAGATGTTAGAGTCCACTTCTGCCTAGTTGTGATGTTATAACCAAGTTTCATACCGGGCAATTGAGTGCTGCCAGGATGATCAAAGCTCTGCCACAAAGTCCTGTCAGTTTCATCCTTCACCACAAAGTTACCGGAATCTTCTATTGTGGCACTAACATTTCCAGTCCCAACTTGATCAGAAATATTCACAAGAGTACTCCCTCCACTCATGATCTGCAACCTTCCTGTGCTATCAAAACTGAGAACTCCAGAATTGTTCAAAATAGGTGTGTTAGGATTGGCAATCCATACCTTCCTTTGTCGGTAATCATTGGTGTACCATATTCCTAAATAACTAGATGCAGTCGCGGTGATATTGAAGAATCCTAAGGTGAATTTCCCACCTTCAGAAACGAGAGAACTAACAGAGGACTTGAGTTCATCACTGCGTCGAATTGTGCTTGCTCCTGCTACTCCTGCTACGAGGGAGGAATCGAATTCGAGGCAGCACAAGAATGTGAAAATTAGCAGCAACATTAGATTCATAGAACCTGCCATTTGGGTAGCCATAGCCAGAAGCAGTTTGTGTATAGAAAGCTGTGTGTCAAATGAAGATTCAGAAGATTAGCTGACTTAAGATGTGTGGCAGAGAGTTTTAAGCTGATTCTCTTGACCTAAGGGTGGGGAGGCTACAAATCTTGGACCTATCAAATGAGCTGAATGTGACTTTTTTTTGACCCAAATTCTGTCATGTCCACTTGAATAGTGAGAGGCATATACCAGTTCTAATGGACAATTCAAAAGGGTTTTGAATCTTTTGATATTAATTAAAGGGCTAAGAATATAAAACAACTTACTTTTAGAGCAAATCACATCCTTCTATTTTACTTTGGTATATAACTCTCTTAAAAATTTAAAAACGTTGCAAACTAGAGCTTTTCAATAGTTGTTAGAAAAGTACCGTTAACAAACCATGTGTCTCGCATATGATTAATGAATTGTATTAAATACTGAAAATGCCCTTCTTTGATTGAATTTTTTTACTATTTTTTAACTGAATCTTTACATTAATTGAATTTTGTTTACTATTTTTACTATTTAAATAGAAAAAATGTCCTTCTTTGATTGAATTTTTTACTATTTTTAAACTGAATATTTACATTAATTGAATTTTGTTTACTATTTTTACTATTTAAATAGAAAAAATTCCCTTCTTTAACTGAATTTGTTAAATAAAGGCCATAATAGTCATTTTACATTAATTGAATTTTTTACTATTTTTTATTTTAATTGTAGGAAGGGCATTTTAGTATTTGTATCATTCTATTAACGGCCAAATGATGAAAGATCCTTGTTCACCCCTAAAATAAACATTAGGGGGTTTTCAAAACCTATAAGGATTATATGAGTTATATGCATGCTACAATGATGTTAAATGCTCGTGACGTTAATTAAATCTATATCAAGCATTTTTAGACTGATTAAAAAACGTGTCATTTTCTAATGGTTAAATCCTACTCTTTTTTGCTTGTGAACTCATTTGCTAGTATATCCAAAATATATGTCGATCAACTTGTGGAAATGTTAAACATTAGTGTCGTCATCTGTATATTGTAACGACCCAAATGGGATACCAAAATAATAATAAAAATCTATAAAAAATTTCGGCATGACCTCCGCAGAAAATGTCTCTAAACAACCTGTTGAAATACAAAAAAATAATTACAATGGCCTCCCTGGGCCTTAAATCTAACATATCATGTCCCAACGCAATATACATATATTATATCATATCTCCAAAGTGACTACATACATACAAAATCCCATTCCTCCATCTCATCCAATAAGGAACATACGTTGGTTACATCAAGTTACAGTCCAAAAAGCGTAGTTAGAATTTAAAAGTCCATGGCTTACAACATTATACTAATTAAACTAAAGTTTTACGAGTTAGTTAATATTACATTTACAAAATATTAGAGAGTTTTAATACAAAAGATAGCAAAAAAAAAAATAAAATAGGTCTCCGTGCTCGTTTAAAATCGTGGTGGATCATCGTCCGCCACCTCTTTTCCATGTCCTGAAAAATGTTAGAAATAATGGGGTGAGCATAAGCTCAGTAGGAAGTGTCTAAGACAAACTTCTTATATCCCCGTGAATCCATACAAGGAATAGATTAAAAGTGAAAGGGATCATGCTATAAGGAAACACACACTCTCAAATACAATAACAAGTATGTAACAAATACCACCCAATCACAAGTTTACTACAATGTCATGAAGTGCAATATGCAAACGTTACTCCCCATTTTCCGAAACATTTCCGTTTCAACTTCCAAAACCGTTAGTGTAATCCGACCCAAGGCACCTCCAAGGCGTCACGAATGGAGGGTTGACTAACTATCCACGACCACAAGGCACCTCCAAGGCGTCGCATCCGGCCTAGTTAGCTCAACCATGATCCCTTCTAGACTACACTAACACCACGGACCACTAGGCGCCTCCTAGGCGTCCGGTTTTCGCAAACTCCTTTAAAAAAATATCTTCCCCAAAATAATTTCGTTTGTTCAAAATATATATATATATATATATATATATATATATTTTTCCTTTCTCTTTCCCAATGAATGCATGAATGTGCATGTTTCGATTTATCAATTTAACCATAGGCTCTCACACATTTCATTTACATCATTATCACAATTTAATAGAAATTTCTAAGCAATCATTTCTTTTATTTATTTATTGACCATAGCATCATTTTCTTTCAAAGCAATAAATAAATAAAAAATACATAATCTTAGGACATACAATATGTCAACACCAAACATGCTCAATCACCGTAATAAATCTAGTCATATATATGAATTCAAATAACACATGGAACACATTTAGCATTTTAATTAAACATACTTCAACCACAAACTAGATAATCAAAATTAGCATGCATAGGATCAAATTTAAGGGGAAAAATTCACAAAAAAACTAAGAAATTGTAGATTAGAACACCCCTACCTCAATGGAAGTGAAAACTCCCAAAATTCCCAAATCCAAGCCCAAGAACCCTAGAATTTTGAACTCCCTAGAGTGCACCAAATGATGATTGGCTCCTATCAAATTGAAGGCCTTGACGAGCTCTCCAACTTTGCTTCACAATGCTCTACCAAAATCCAAAAGTTTAAAGCTAGATCAAGCTTTGAGATTGCAAAAAGAAAAAGAAGCAGTGAGATGCCGAGAGAGGAAAGATGCAGCAGAGAAAGAGAGAGAAAACAGTTGGGTCGTGGGTTATGTAATGCCTTATACACTTTTTGTGTGTTTTAAAACATGGGTGGGGCCCACTTGCTTTATTTCTTTTTCTTTTAGCATTATATATATATATATATATATATATATATATATATATATATATATATATATATATCACAACATTACATTCTTCCCAACTTTAAAAGATTTCGTCCCCGAAATCAGGCCATACCTGAGGGAGAAAACAACTCTGGATACTTGGAGCGAATCTCCTGTTCGAGCTCCCAAGTAGCCTCCTCAACTCCATGATGCTTCCAAAGAACCTTTACCAACGATATCGTCTTTTTCCTCAACACCTTCTGTTGTGCGTCAAGAATCTGAACTGGTCCCTCTTCGTAGGAAACATCCTCATCAATGTCCACATCAACCCAACTCAAAATATGAGACGGATCTGGCTCATACTTCCGTAGCATCGACACATGAAAGACATTATGAACCCTGTCCATCTGTGGTGGCAATGCTAGTCTGTAGGCAACCTCTCCTACGCGGTCCAAGATCTTAAAAGGTCCAATAAATCGTGGCGACAACTTGCCACTCTTCCCGAACCTCATCAACCCCTTCCTTGGAGAAACCCGAAGAAAAATATGGTCTCCCACCTCAAAGGATAGCGGTCGTCTCCGCCTATCTACATAACTCTTCTGTCGGCTCTGAGCTGTAAGCAATCTCTGTCTGATCAGCTTAATCTTCTCGGTAGTCTCGAGTACAATGTCGGGTCCTAAGGCGGTTGTCTCGCCCACCTCAGTCCAACAGACAGGAGACCTACAAGGTCTACCATACAACGCCTCAAATGGAGCCATCTGAATACTCGCCTGATAACTATTGTTGTAGGCAAACTCAATAAGTGGAAGGTGATCCTCCCAACTACCACCCAAGTCAAGTACACAGGCTCGAAGCATATCCTCTAAGATCTGGATGGTACGCTCCGACTGGCCGTCCGTCTGTGGATGAAATGTATTACTAAGGTGCAACGCTGAGCCAAACGCTGCTTGAAGTCCTTCCCAGAACTTCGAGGTGAACTTAGCATCCCTATCCGACACAATAGCCACTGGAACTCCGTGCAATCTCACAATCTCTTTCACATAAAGTACACCGAGTGTCTCTGCGTCATCTGTTGCCTTAATAGGCAAGAAGTGAGCCGTCTTGGTCAATCTATCGATAATAACCCATACGGCTTCATTTCCCCTCCGTGGCCTAGGAAGACCTGTCACAAAATCCATTGCAATCTCTTCCCATTTCCACTGCGCTACTGGCAACGGCTGCAATAAACCAGCTGGTCTCTGGTGCTCGGCCTTCACCTGCTGACAGGTAAGGCACTTAGCTACAAACTGTGCAACATCATTCTTCATTCCATTCCACCAATACTGACGTCTCAAATTGTGATACATTTTGGTACCACCCGGATGAACTGCAAAGCGGGAAGTATGAAACTCCCGTAAGACGTCCTCACGACAAACTGTAGGAACGACCAACAAACCCCTAAACCGTAGACCTCCATCTGCATGTAAGTTCCAATCCTTCGCGATCTCGCCATTGGAGATCAAAGTGTAAATGGCATCCAAATCTGAATCCCGTCTTTGTGACTCAATCACCCATCTAACAAGAGTGGGTTGAGCCACGAGACTAAACAAGAATACTGACTCACTGCCATCATCATCATCCAAACAATACAGTCCCATTTCAGCCAAATTTTCCAGCATTTTCCATTTCCGAATGGCTAAACTAGCCAAAGTCCCACGAGATTTCCGGCTTAAAGCATCAGCTACCACATTTGCCTTGCCAGGATGATACTGCAAATCAAAGTTATAGTCTTCTAAAAATTCAACCCATCGCCTCTGTCTGTTGTTCAAGTCCTTTTGGGAGAAAAGGTACTTGAGACTCTTGTGGTCCGAGAACACCTCAAATCTCTCACCATACAAATAGTGTCTCCAACACTTCAAAGCAAATACAACTGCCGCTAACTCTAAGTCATGAGTAGGGTAGTTAAGCTCGTGAGTCTTCAACTGTCGAGACCCATAAGCCACTACTCTATCATCTTGCATCAGTACACAACCCAAACCATCACGTGAGGCGTCACAATAGATCACATAACCCAAGCCACGCTCAGGTATCACCAACACCGGAGCCATAGTCAACCTTATTTTCAATTCTTGAAAGGATGACTCACAGGCCTCATTCCATGCAAACTTGATCCCTTTCCTGGTCAATCTGGTCATAGGAGCTGCCAAACGGGAAAAATCCTTCACAAATCTCCGATAATAACCCGCTAAGCCAAGGAAACTCCGGATCTCAAAGACATTCTTGGGTTGCTCCCAACTCAAAACTGCCTCTATTTTTGAAGGATCAACTGAAACCCCACC